TTGTGATGTTTTAGAAGTCAAGAAGCGCAACTTTTGGCACCCCAGTGTATGTTTGTTGTCTCTCTTGTTTTTTGACGGCCCAGGTACGACCTTTGGCCACCAAGGCTCTCACATCATCAGTCCTCGCTGCACTTAGTAGTGCCTGGCACTCAGAGAACTCAGAGAAGCGGAAGAATGCATTCTTGAACTTGCTGCGCGATGTGCTCGAGGTGGTTGCGCAAGTCATCCGGTGAACTGCTTAGCGATGTGAAGCGAACTATATACAAGATGTTCAATGGTGTAGCTGTAGCGAGCACAGCTCGATTGTAGCGTGCAGGCGGAAGGCTTCTATCAGAGAAGTTGTGAGCTTTACTTTGCAGGAGAAAGCTTTCACTCGCAAATGGAAAGAATGCAGTTGCTGCAAGACAAGATGCAAAAGGCGTAGCTCAACCCTTGTGTCTCGCAAGCTGAGTGAAGGCCGCTCCGCCATTTTCACACTTCTGGTTCGAGCTTCTTGAAGCAAAGTTGGGGCTCGATTCTAAGTGCGGCAGCAGCAGACGCATGCCACGAGCTTTTTGGATGATTCTTTGTGGTTGCGATTGATACAACGTGTGCAAAAAGCCACATTGCTCGGGTCGCTTCGTGACGACAACCGCCCGCACCAGGGGCTCTCAGAGACAGGCTAACAGAAGTCTCTAAATAGTCACACTATTTTTGGACTCTCTTACACAGTGTTTAGTTATGTGATACTTGCAATTAGCAAGCATTATTGGATCTACCTTTCACCCCCTTGAAACTGTACATTTTCAAGGGGGTCAGAAAATGGAGTGACTTTGTAGAATACTACACAGTGTGCTGGTGCAAGCATGAAGATATACTAAGACAAGACATAGACTGCTGAGAGGAGTCGTTTGTTTGCCTTTCATAGACCTGGTGATGCAAATGACACGGTGATGAGAAGTAAAGTCAGACAGACATGATCCAAGCGAAAATGCACCCCTAGCTACAAAGCTATTTAGCGATTCACGCACTGGTTGCAGTTTAACACCTCAGCACCTTCGGCGCGGGCGGACTTCATCGCAGCTCTAGAACAGAGTCTTTACATGTTTCTGCCATAGGGCGGAAAAAGTAGCAAGTTTCCCAGGGTGACTTGCATTTCCCTGTGAACCCCACAGTCCTTGGAACCGAGCCCTGCGCAACAATACACGTCCGTACCAGTGTGTGAGCGCGTAAGATTGAACAGGCTATAGCACATAGAGATCTTAGTGCTCAACATCACAAACACTCTCAATCCAAATCTAATGTGGGGTCATGTAGTGTAACGCGTCCCCCTTTGGTTCGTATTACTTTTAATCTCTTTGCCCCATACCGAAAGAGCAGCGTCGCGTTGCAGCAAACTAGGCAATGGGGCTGTGCGAACGCACAGTACCATGATGACGACGATGATGATGATGATGATCATGTTGGTCACTTTTGACAATTTGAGGGGAGCCACGGAAGCGAACTTTCCACCTAGGCCGCGCAAAACCGAATGGCGCAGCGAACTCGCAGACGTGATTTCGCCACACTGTGCGCCGCAGACTGCAGACTGGGCGCAACGAAGTTGCCGGTTGAGAGGCCAAAGCTCCCAGAAGCTGCTTGCCGTACAACATGTGTATACGACAAAGTTGCGACTTCTGAGCGCCAGCTCCCAGAAACCGCTTCCCGCACTACACTTGCACTACAAAATTGTCAGTTGATTGCTTTCCATACCACATTTGCACTGCAAAGTTGGCAGCTGAGGCCGCCTCTCCCACAAGCTGCTGCCCGGACTACATGTGTACTAATAAGGTCATAAGGTGCCAGTTCTGAGGCCACCCTTCGGCAACTTCCACCTTGATTCCCCACGACAGCCATACATTTTGGCAACTTTGATTTTGATTTCCGACGACCACCTTGCTTATCCACGACAGTTACACGCTTTGGCATCTTCGATTTTGGTTTTCGACGACAGCTAGACACTTTGTCAACTTCCACCTTGCTTTCGCATTTTGGCACCTTGCACTTTGATTTTGGACAGCAGGTACACACACTTGGCGTCTTCCACCTTTTTGGTGAGGACAGTTGCACACTTGCGCAACTTCTGACCACATTTACGCATTTTGGCAACTTCGGTCTTGACTTTCAACGACGGTTACATTGTTTGGCAGCTTCCAACTTGATGCCCGATGTTAGTTAGAGACCTTGGCAACCTCCACCGTGCTGTCCGACGACGTTTTCACATTTTGGGACGTCGATCTTGATTTTCGACATCAGTCTATTTACACACTCTAGCAATGCCCACTTTGGCAACGTCCACTTTGATTTTGGATGACAGTTTCACACCTAGGCAACTTTCGCCTTGCTTTTCGACGACAGTTACAAAGTTTGGCCACACCCAGCTTGGTTTGTGATTTGCAGCTACACGCTCGGAACTACCTTGATTTTCAACGACAGTTACCCACTTCAGCAACTCGACGCGCCCGATCTCCGCAAATAGTTCGCGGACATTGCTGAGAATTTGCGTTCTGCCTGCCGTTTGAGCAATGGACGTGCGCGATCTCCGCAAAGGGTTGCCCAGCGTGCTCGATGTGCGGTCCCCGCAAAGGGTCGCATTTCACCCTTTCACCTCACCTTTGAGCAATTGACGCGAGCGATCTCCGGAAAACGTTCCTGAAGTGCTGGGCAATTAAATATACATTTCGGTTCACGTTTGCGTGCTCGACCCGCGCGCTGTTTTGTGAGTGCCATGCGGTTCATACTCAATTGAAGCGGTTGCACGCCAGGGCCCCATGATTTTACATATTTGTATGTGGCCTTCCGTTTCTGCCGCACTGCGTGCTTCAGCTGCGTGATTTACACTTGTCCCCCACTTGTCATACACTCTGGCGCTCTGCTCATATGATTTTACGCTTGTCTCCTACTTGTCTCTCTTCTCTCCCAGTACGCTCTGGTCACATGATTCTACACTTGTCTCACTTCCCACTCTGGGTGCTCTGGCCGCATGATTTTTCATGTGTCTCCCACTTGTCTCCCTTCTCTTCCTTACACTCTTTGTGCTGTGGGCCACATGTTTTTGCGCTTGTCTCCCACTGTACGCCCTGCTCTTATAGGGTTGCATGCTGGGCTGCTGGGCCTGGGCTATCCTGGGCTGACGTTTCCTCTGTTGGCCGACCTTTTGGGCAATGATTTTTCACTTGTCTCCCACTTGTCTCTCTGCTGATCTGTCTGCTTGTCTCCCTTCTTGCTTCTTGTGTCTCCCTGCCTGTGTATCCTCACAAATTCATGGTGGATGCCAGCAGCGTTTCCAAGTCTCTAATGTGACGAGCGCGCCAAAATGGCCGTGCCAATCATGCGTCGCGCGTGTGACACGTCGTGTGCAGTTGTAGCAGAATTTGCGTGTGCCCGCGTGGGATTGCATGCGCTTCGTAAACGCTGCCCATTTGCACGCCGCTGGATGCGCTCAGAACAGTGACTGAAGTTTTGTCAAGGCCCGGGAAAGCAGCGCTGAAGACCACGGTGGACAGCTGCACATGCAAACGCGCACGAACAGTGTGTATGCTGCCGAGTTTTTTGGCTGCTGTAGGACCAGCTACTTTTCCGCCCAATTATGATTTGGTATTGCTTTGATGCCTGGATGCATTGGTGCTGCGTTGGCTGTGGCTCTCAATCCGACTCAGCGCAGTTTCTCAGGTTTTTGGTGGTTTCCTTAGCGGCAAGCGTTGGACAGAGGCGACAGATGGGGTGCGAAGGGGAAATGGAGCAGTTGCAAGCGCCTCCAGGCACATTCTGAGGCATTGAAAAAGAAAACAGTTGCTTCGCCTAAGATTTCCAACTTGCAAATTGCAGATGGTAGAAAATTGGAAAGTGCACCGGTAAACGTTATAAGTTATAAGACAATCAAGTATACTGAGGTGAAGGACAATTTGCACCGTAACTTTGCGAAGGCGTCCAGCGCTTGTGGGTGTGCCAGCGGTGAACTTTGAACGATAAATGAGGTTGTGGTCAGCTCTTGGAAGGTGTGGCCGGCTGCAATGTGGCTAACTCACAGGCAGCGCTGCCGGATTTAAACAACGTCTCCATTTGCTTGCCGCGTTGCAGGTATATCCCGGCCCAATATCGGCAGCTTGACCAAGTACAAGAGTTGTGGAAGATATAGCTGGGGTGTGTTAACAAGGATTGCGGTGTGAGGCGAACATGGATTCCAACCAACAAGTCCAGAGAGTTGAAGAATGTGCCCCTCAGTTATGATGCTGCATTGCTGTCGCTTACCGCGCCTTTTTTTTAAATTGCCTTGTCTATATAATTTCACAAACAACGTGAGACGCAAGTGCAGCTTAAGTAGCTGCATCAGTGTTTTCAGGATGCATATGTTTAGTATTGGAGGATTGCGAGGTTTGTCAAGCTGGACGCATTTAATGCGCATGTTGCTCCTGAGGTCAGCTTTCACTGAAATGCTTGCATTCTTCTGGGATGTGTCCTGGCAACGAACGGTACTGTTGCCACGGCCCAGCCCAAACGTGTGAACTCTTGCTCTTGTGTTGCCAAGACCTCTGCAACCTAGGTGTATGAAAGTCTCATGGTGAGTGGCGCCGAAAGAAAAAGCGAGGAAGACGAAAAGGAACAACGTGTTGCGCCCAAATAGAAAAACACATGGCGCGTCAATTGTGGAGCGTATGTTTCCAAAATCAACATGGACTGCGGGAACCTCGAATTTCATTGACAAGACTTGTTTGAAGGCTTTCTAATTCAAGCTATTTGGCATTCGAAAGTATCTGCGAAAGATATCAGCAAAGCTTTAGCAAAACCAGGAGGAGCCACATTTGGAGAAGGGGCAACAACAACTATACTCAGTACTCTAGTTTGCCCGATTCAGAAACGAATGCAGAGGACTACGACGTCTGATTCTGAGCTTCAGTTTTGATAGCCCGCTTTGACAATTTTTAGAGTCACGGCACAGTGCTTTTGATTCCTCTTGGATCCAAACCATGCAGAACCGAAGCCCAAAACCAAGGCATCAGGCGACCTGTTCAGAGCACGAGCACACGTTTGAAGCCAAGTGTAGCCTGTTTTGCTCATTGCTTGGCCCTGCTATTTAGTTGAGCTGACCAGAGTTGCTTTTGCTGCGTGGCTGAGGCGCCCCTCAATGGCAGGAGTCCAAGCTAAAGGGGCTGGAATTGGAGGTTTCCCGAGCGTGCATTGCAGGGAGAAATGTGCAATGCTTGCCGCCAACTTGAAGAAGCTGCTGCAGCCCTTTTTGCACGCCTTCAAACTGCCAGGAGGTGTGGGCATTGAGCGTTGGACAATAGCAGTATATAAACCTTGGCTCGCGACTTCAAGCAATAGTCCATGCTGCGTGCAGAAGATGCGAGAAAGTATATTTTCATTCTTTGTTTGACGCATTCCAACCGAAAGGGTTACCCGCAGCTCACTGCACTGCACCACCTTAAGGCCCAAGACACACGGACACGGCCGCTAAAAGCAGCTGTCTTGGCTACAATGCACAACTGCTGCCCGGTTGAACATTTGTCTCAACCAATTCACTTTTTTGCGTCAAAGCGTGCGTGAGGCGCAGCAAGCAAAGGTGAAACAAAAACGCTTGAAATGGAGCCCGGCAAAGGCGCAGAACGGCGCATTACCCAATTAGCTCAAAGGACCTCGACCTGGCAGCAGCCGATTTCATGAGGCGTTAGACCTGCTTTTGCATCACCGAATGTCTACGCAGGCGCAGTGGAATGGCCCTCATGCACGGTATCAGCATCGACTGACACCCTCTTCGTTGGACGGGCAATGTCAGTGGCGTCCCGTCCGTCCGCCTGCTGTTGCGCAGAGAATCAATGTTAAAGGAATGGGCGCCCTGGAAACAGGGTGTGACATACACAAACACACACACACTCGAGATATTGCGCGCGGAAATGTTTTGCGGTTAGTCACACGCCAGCCTAAATAGAGGCACCAGGACAAAGTAAGTAAGGTGGTCTTAACATCCAGGGAACCATCGCTTGTAGTGAGGAGGCCAAAGTCTCAGCACGACTCGGAGCTTCGTAGGATGGGGCCTCATAATCCTCATGCGTCCTCTCCATCCTCTTGCTCAAAAGAAGTAAAAGGTTCCCTATATGATTCCATGGGCTTCCCAAACGCCCCCAAAGGCTAGGACTAGGGGTCAGACAAAGTGTAAGTGTGTGCGCGCAACGGACAACTAGACGACGGTTGGCCCGAGAGCGAGACATGTAATTGTCCAGCACTGTCGAAAAGATGTATAGAAAGAGAGGAAGAGAGGGTGGATGTGAAGGAGTGACAGTGTGATGTGCAGGTGCGATATAGATCTGTAGATGCATGGAGGTGGAGAGGTAGATCTGTGGATGTGAGCGTGCGAAGATGTAAATGCACAGAGACGAGAGAAAAGATATGTAGAAAGAAAGAAAGACAGGACAGATGTGAAGGAGCGACAGTGTGGATGTACAGATGTGATATAGATGTGCAGATGTGTGGGTGTGGTGAGGTGGAGAGGTAGATCTGCGGATGTGAGCGCGTGAAAGATGTAAATGTAGAGAGGTGAGGGGGTGTAGACGTATATGCGTCGATGCAACGGCAATGCAACGTCAACCTTAGTCGTGCAAGTACAACGCTGAAGAGGTTCAACTAGAACTGAAGAACGTACATTTCACACTGAAGTTTCCACGAACAGGGCGACCTGAGAGTAAACGACGTCACGATCATGACAAGCGACTCGTGTATTCCAAGCGAACATCGTTTGTCATGAAGATGAAGTACACACATACTAACGTCACGATGACTCTTTGTGGCAGCCACTTATGAGTAAGCAAAGTAGCTAAAATTTGTCAACCTCTCAAAAGAGCCGGGTGGTCGGGAGACATGACTCAGCTGCAGGGGCGCCAGAGCAGCCACGACGGATGACTCAGCCGCGAGAGATGACTCATCCGCGTACTCAAGTTGTACTATACAAAGTCGTCAGTTCTCAGCTTCCAGCTCCACAGCTTGCTCCGCGTACTAAAGTTGTACTAGAAAGTCGCCAGTTCTCATCTTCCAGCTCCCCAGATACTCCGCGTACTCAAGTTGTACTACAAAGTCGCCAGTTCTCAGCTTCCAGCTCCACAGCCTGATCCGCGCACTAAAGTTGTACTACAAAGTCGCCGGTTCTCAGCTTCCAGCTCCACAGATTGCTCCGCGTACTAAAGTTGTA